GTACTTCATTCAAAATATTTTTCTTCTTCTATATAAAATTTCCTTACAGTTCAGATTAATTTCTGAATTTGTTTTTGCATTTCATCTATTTTTTAATATCCAACTCTACTTTTCAATATGTTGTAAGGATCTAATACAGATAAAACCAACAATTCTGAAAATTCAAAGCGTATTTAATTATTAATTATCAATTGAAAAGCTATTATTCTTAACATCCCATAATTTAATTGACATATCATAACTACCAGTTACTATTGGAAGGAAGCAAACTGAAATGACCAAATTACCATGACCATCTAAACTGATTTTTAAAATCCTGTCTTAACATAGAAAAGAGAAATTGTCACAACCAGATGCCAATGTTGTACAATCTGGAGAGAAATGACTGAAATGACTTCACTTGAATGGCCTTCTAATTTGATTTTTTATAATCCTGCATTAACATCCAATAAACTCATAGATTTGTCATAACTACTAGATACTAATGTTGTACCAGGAGAGAAATAGACTGATCTAAAAGTACTATTATGGCCATCTTATTTTTTTACTTCATTTATTTTTATATTTGTCCATTTTCAATTAAACAATTGGGCTTAATTCATGTTTATTCCACATATGTCAATATTTTCAAAAATATTTCCTTTCAATTTCATTTTCCCATATTACAATCAATAAAAGAAGTGTCTCTAATCCTAATATTTCCAAACTATGTTCTCTCACATTTCATTTGCAATTTTTCAAACAAACCCTTTCAAATTAATTGATATTTCTGTGATGTAGTAATGTAAATTAAATTCAATTTGAATAATATTTTCAATTTTAATATTGATACACTTAAACCAATAGTATTGCTTATTATTTTGATTACACTCCTTTGAGATAAAGTTTGTACAATCTTTGATTTTCTTTCTAGACCGAAAAATGATTCCAGAATATTTTTATTTAAATAACTGCCCATATAAATCTACTTTACCTACACAAACTAAATCTTCTTATTCAATTTTTAGATCAATTTCAACTCTTCTTCCAATTTATTCTTGAATGACTCTTTTTTGCCTCCCCAACTTCCATAAAAAATTTACACTAGCTATTCTTAGTCAGTAAAGGACGATTTAGCTAGATTACTATTTTCTTTCACAAGAGTGACATATGAGTAGTTTTCCTGCTTAATTGTCTCATAAATTTTGTTGATTGCTTCTAATAATTAAATCCAAATTTTCCTCACCCATGTTTTAGATTTGAGAAAGCATCTATTTTAAATTTATTCTCTTTTGAATTGATCCATTTGTCTAAACTAAAGTTATTGAAGATTTTTTTAAAGCAACTCATGATTTCGTGAAAAAATATTTTCTATAAGATAACCAAACACTATATTGAACAAAGGTGTTGAAATATCTAAACTAAAAAAACAAGAAATACTTGATAAACTTACTTTATAACAATATTTTGAAAAATTTGAAATATTTCAATATTTATTTATAATAAGTGTCTTCTTTTCCAATTAGTATGAATTTATGTCTAGTGCTCATTGTTAATGTCAATAATATTAAAATATCGTATCCAACTTTTGATTCTTGAGTGCACTAAACTCAATTATAGTTATAAATCCATTTTTGATCTTTGGATAAAATTAATTTGGATTATTATCATTAATTATGGCTCAATCATTAATTAATTATAAGCAGTTATNACCATGACCATCTAAACTGATTTTTAAAATCCTGTCTTAACATAGAAAAGAGAAATTGTCACAACCAGATGCCAATGTTGTACAATCTGGAGAGAAATGACTGAAATGACTTCACTTGAATGGCCTTCTAATTTGATTTTTTATAATCCTGCATTAACATCCAATAAACTCATAGATTTGTCATAACTACTAGATACTAATGTTGTACCAGGAGAGAAATAGACTGATCTAAAAGTACTATTATGGCCATCTTATTTTTTTACTTCATTTATTTTTATATTTGTCCATTTTCAATTAAACAATTGGGCTTAATTCATGTTTATTCCACATATGTCAATATTTTCAAAAATATTTCCTTTCAATTTCATTTTCCCATATTACAATCAATAAAAGAAGTGTCTCTAATCCTAATATTTCCAAACTATGTTCTCTCACATTTCATTTGCAATTTTTCAAACAAACCCTTTCAAATTAATTGATATTTCTGTGATGTAGTAATGTAAATTAAATTCAATTTGAATAATATTTTCAATTTTAATATTGATACACTTAAACCAATAGTATTGCTTATTATTTTGATTACACTCCTTTGAGATAAAGTTTGTACAATCTTTGATTTTCTTTCTAGACCGAAAAATGATTCCAGAATATTTTTATTTAAATAACTGCCCATATAAATCTACTTTACCTACACAAACTAAATCTTCTTATTCAATTTTTAGATCAATTTCAACTCTTCTTCCAATTTATTCTTGAATGACTCTTTTTTGCCTCCCCAACTTCCATAAAAAATTTACACTAGCTATTCTTAGTCAGTAAAGGACGATTTAGCTAGATTACTATTTTCTTTCACAAGAGTGACATATGAGTAGTTTTCCTGCTTAATTGTCTCATAAATTTTGTTGATTGCTTCTAATAATTAAATCCAAATTTTCCTCACCCATGTTTTAGATTTGAGAAAGCATCTATTTTAAATTTATTCTCTTTTGAATTGATCCATTTGTCTAAACTAAAGTTATTGAAGATTTTTTTAAAGCAACTCATGATTTCGTGAAAAAATATTTTCTATAAGATAACCAAACACTATATTGAACAAAGGTGTTGAAATATCTAAACTAAAAAAACAAGAAATACTTGATAAACTTACTTTATAACAATATTTTGAAAAATTTGAAATATTTCAATATTTATTTATAATAAGTGTCTTCTTTTCCAATTAGTATGAATTTATGTCTAGTGCTCATTGTTAATGTCAATAATATTAAAATATCGTATCCAACTTTTGATTCTTGAGTGCACTAAACTCAATTATAGTTATAAATCCATTTTTGATCTTTGGATAAAATTAATTTGGATTATTATCATTAATTATGGCTCAATCATTAATTAATTATAAGCAGTTATAGTAATTAAAACAAAGAACAAATTTTTGATTTGTGAATAATTAACAAATACGATGGAAAGAAAAAATTATTTTCCTTAGTTTTTTAGATATGCAATTATCACAAGGAAGTAAAATGTACCACTCCCGAAAAATATTATAGGAATAACAAGTTCCTCATTAAGTAGAAACCCAATTAAAGTCTGAATTAAATGAATGCATTGATTCGCTCATAGAAATCAACGAATATTCTTTCAACCCAACCGAAGAATACATTCCAAAAAGACAAGTTAAAAAAATACACAGATAAAAGATCTTAGGATTTGGGATATTTAAAGAGTATAATATTGTATTAATTCTGGTATTTTACCTTTTTTGTTTGCAAAGAGAAATTTTGGCTATTTAAGCTCCACAATTAAATTGAATTAGCAGAAGGTAGTTCTGAACTAGCATAAATAATTAAATGGTATTAAATATGTGTTTAATTATGTAAAAGAAGATTTAGACTATAAGAAAATGTTTAAAATTAAGTGAAGGGAGAAAAAAAATACATGTTAATTAAACATTTGGATAGTAAAAAATAACTAATAAAATCATAATCTTACCACAAATAAAAAAAGAATCTAACATATCAGACGAATATATGGAATTTCTTAACAAAATTTTACTAAAATGATTTTAGTTATTGTAAATAATAGGAGTTGTAAAAGTAGAAAAGAAGATAAAATTTTGAAATTTATAAGGCATTCAATTACAAAACAACTTTGATATACAATTAGTATTTTGAGAATATTGAGATTATTGATATTAGTTGAACACATGAACATTTTAAAGAACAGAATTCAGGTTGAGTTAGTTTTAAATTTGTTAGTGGAACTTGTTATTAACACACATCCCTTATAAATTTAAGAAAAGATCTCACAGCATTATGTAATTATTTTATTATAATTGTGCTAAAATTGGTAAAGGATTTGTAAGAAATGTTTAAAAATTTCTGATTGTAATGTATTTATTGTTTAAAATAAATATTGAGTCAATAAAACTAGCCAATTTTATATTTAAAAATCATCTTATGAAAAGGAAGCCTTCTTTTTAGTAATATAAGTACATAGATGAAAATGAAGTCTTCTTTTTCACAATATGAAGTTATTATAGTATAAATCAATTTATTGAGTTAATAAAATTGGCATATGTTATTGATTCAAATACACAGTCGACTTCATAAATGTAATCCATTTATCTTTTATATATTTTTCTAAATACTCATCAATCAGTTTTTTGAATGTTATAAAACACTTATTTTATTTCTTAATATACATTTCATAATAAATTTTTAATTCGTCCCTTCATATTATTCTAAAAAATCTATGTATTTGACCTGATTTATTAAAACCTATCTAAATAGAAGTTACAATTAGAAACATGACCTTTTAATAACTTAATACTTTTTGAATTGGATTTACTTCTGGGGAATATGGTGCTAGAAATACACAATTAATATTCTGTATAAACAGTTAACTTATTAATTTACTTTTATGTATAGAGCAAATATCTAGAATACTCACAAAGTTTTACCAATTGAAGTATTAATCAGCACATTGAATGGGTTTCTCTATAAATTAACCGAATAAATACTAATTGACACAACCTGAAACAATTTACAAAAATTAAAATCCATTGTTACGAATTCCTCCAATTACATTTAAATGTTATGTTGAATACTAATTGCTGTGAGTATAATTTTTCCCGATAGTAAATAGAACTTTCTGATAGCTAAATAAGCATTTTTTTTACTCATTAATAAATTTGTTGTATTTCTTTGTTTATAACGATATCGTTTTTTCCAAGATTTATTCATTAAAGCAATTGCCTGATTAAAGCTCAGAAACTTTGACTAACTACACACTTTCATTAATCATCAATTAATAGCAATCATGTTTGCATCTATGATGAGGAATTATTGGTTTTCATATTTCTACTCGATTCCTTAATTTGCAATCTATCAATCCAAATATATTTTTATTTTTGGTTCTGATTATTTGAAATAGAATAAGAGGTCGGACTATCAGAAGCCATGGAAGAATTATTTAAATATGACACATTGAAATATAAGTCAATATGAAATTGGTAAAAGGAATATTTCATAAATCTGGATCATCAGTCTATATGGAATTTTGACACAAATGAACAAAGAGTTCAACAAATGTTTGTTTTAATATATGATGTCATCGTTTCATTCTTTTATGTAAAAATTCAGATATTGAGTTCAAAAATATTTATATAACAAAGTTACTCGAGCATTGTAGATCAAGTAAAAAATAATATAGTGTTAAATTCACATTTCCTACAATAGATAAAACATAATTTATTATTATATTCTAGGATTAGGTAAGAACAATTAATAGATGAGTCGAATAGGCTGCTAGTGTCATTGAAATATGTGTATACATGCTTAATTTTAAAAGGGTATAACCTTCCTAAATTCAATTCTCCTTGCAGTACAAGTTCTTACTTGCTTGGAGTCACCCTATCAAGACTTTTTCATAGCAAATAATAGGATATATAAATTGCTTATTTGATTAAAAGGGCAACAAAAATTGATATTTATAGAGAAATATTCTAAATAATAGGACAAGAAATAGAATTGGGATTTACATTTGATAAACTTCCAGATCGAGAGTGATTGATCAAGGCTTTATATTTTATCTCCGTTATCATAGATACTTTTGAGAGCCAACTTCTTTTCGACTTTCTAGTTTATCATACTAAGATTGTTAGTATTTAAATTAGATTGTTATTTTTTTTATAAAATTGAATGATTTAAACACTTCACTTTTAAGGAAGAAGAAACTTTGATTTTTTAAGCCAACTCTTAATTAAAGGGTTCTAAAAAAAATCATTGAAAATCAAGGATAAAATGAATAATTTAACTGCTTAAATTGCAAGTAGAAAAAAATAAAGACAAATATAATTAGAAAATTATAAATTTAATAAATTGAAAAATAAGTAAATAACCAAAATTGAAGATCGCCAGCCATTTATCAAATTTCGATCTGCAGAGAAAGTAGCGTAAAATTTATGTTATTTTACATAATAAGATGAAGTTTTCTATTTCTTAATCAAATAGACAATTATAAGAAATCAATATACTAAGAAAAGTAAATAACAGCAATCATTGTTAAGATTTGTTTAAGATTAAAGATAAGAAGTGAGGTTGTAATGAAAAATACTAGAGCAATATTAAAAGTAAATGGAAAATTGCCCTCTTCCTTAATTTATTTTGTTAGTATAAGGAAATGCACTAAGATTAAGTTAACTTCTAATAAGTATAACACCAGAGGTCATTTATAATATTGTATCATTTAACATCCTCAATTTAAGGTTTATAAAAATTATTCAATAAAATGTTCTCACAGTATACTTTTGCAGACTTTTGTAAGAAATATAACCATCATTCTTAAATAATTATATAATATTAAATAAAGTATTAAAACCAATACTTTGATGAAATTAATGTCGAAGTAATGGATAAAAATTCTAAAATTTTTCATTATAAATTAAGAATATACAGAAAATGAGTACCATCTTAAGAATACGGAAAATTAAAATTAATTATTTATTGAAATAAATTAATAAGTTATTTTTATTTTTTTTTGGGAGAGTAATGCTTAATTTATGAATTTAAAGTATATATATATTTAGTGTGCTCTAAAAAGAAAGCTAATCTGGAAAAACAAAAGAATATCCTTTCATATGTAATATATTAATATTAATCTAAGAACAATAAATTTTGTTATCTTACATGAATTAAATGCAATCAAATTATGTATGAGAGGCAATTCAACGAACTCATAAATTGATGAATCAAATTTATTTGAAATCTGATTGTAAATATCCCTATTTCAGTAATTTTTTATTCGGTTTTGATGATTATAGGAAAAGCAGTTTAAAATACCTATTTTTATAAAGTTCACTTGAACAACAAGCTAAGTAGAAAAATTAAAACATCAAATATTCATAACTTATTGCGAAATCTCAAGATCTTTGTAAGCAGATTAAAAGGTAGACTTTTTATTATTCAATGAGGATATAATTGCTAATATATGTAAATAAATGCAATATTTATAAAAATATTATGTAGAAAACAGTCCTTTTTCTTAATTGAATATTAAATCTATTTTTTTTTAAATACTTTTCAATTGCTACAAGTGATAAATTAAAAATCGTATATGAATTTATGTAAATTGGGTATTATTATTCGTAACATATTATTGTAATTTGTAAATTTTATAATTTTATAGCTCACTCATCATTCCATAATAATCATATTTATGGTAATTTCCTTTGCATTTTAATCCCAAATTATGAGAATTTCTCCGTCATTACTAAGAGTTCCAATTATATTACCAAAACCTTCCGAATTTCCAAAATTCATAATTTCTACTAATTTAAAGTACAATTCTAAATCTTCTTCTTTTATTTGGGTAGTTTTCTCTTAAACTCTAATTAAATTTAAATGGCATCCATTTTTATGAATTAGCATTCTTTTTCTCGAATTATACACAGTTGGGAAGTATTGAAAGCAGGCTTAGCAATCTCCTTTAACCTATATTTATCCTGATTTTAAGAATTTATTTTACAACTAGTTATAGGAGTATATATGTAAAAATTTTGCACCTAAACAAACTAAGTCATATTCAAGGATGGGTTAGAATACAAATGTATTTTTTCCAACAAAACAAATTCTATAACCCCATTCATCTATAATAATCTTTTGTTTTATTGTCCAATAATTTTAGTTTTCTTATTTCATAACTATAATTGTTTAATCTTCACAACAACCAACAACTTAATCCTCATCCTCATTTAATGATAACCCAAAAATTTATTTTTCTGATGCATATTAATAAACACAAACCCATTATTATTAATTACCTGATTCATTCAATAATTATTTCCAAAATACTATTTTATTGCAAGATGAAATTATAAGTTCTTCCTTTCTATTTAAGAGTAAGCTATTAATCTACTCAGAGTGTTCTCTTAGTTTTTGAATTATCCTTGGTTACTTCAATAATTGTAAAGACCAGACTATGATTTACTTATCTTTTGAACCAGATATCAGTTATGACCTTTTCTATGTAAAGGCGAGTGTTGTAATATCATCAATATGTCCAAGAAGTGTTTAAACTTCTTTAAGTTTTGATTTATAATATTAGAATAAATGAATAATACGATTACTTCCTAAAGCGACAATTAAATTATTTTAATCAATTGAAATCACTTAACAATCTATTCTCCATTTCTTTGAATAAATTGTTTAAAGTTGCTTATAAACTATTGACATTAATTTAAATCTAAATATTTGCTTAAAATATATATAGATTGAGTGTTTTAAATTAAAAGTAAATATCGAGAGGCAATCTTGATTAATTGATACTTATTATTTAGTTTTCTAACAAAACCCTTTTAATGATATTTTCAGATATGCCCTAGGTAGAGGAACAATCTAAAAATACTTATTTTACTCGTGCTTAAAAAAGAATATCAGCTTGATCAACTGATAAATACTCAAAATATTTGAATTTGAAAAAAAAATATTTAACCATAATGAAAAATCTAGAACAAGTTAGATTAGTTTCAATTTTTTATGCTTTATCTTTTAAATAATCCTTCCTAATTTTAACTATGAGAGTCAATAGTTTCAAAGAAAACTTTAAGATTGGAATATTATTTAAAAAGTTCACAAAAAATAAATCAAAGCTGAAGATATTTCCATGTGATTGCAGAAGAAAGGTAAATATTATTAGAATTTCCCATTGAGCATAAAAAAATCAATCAATAATTGAAGAAGTGTGAAATGTCTTAGGATTAATTAAGGCGATTTAAGTTTTTATACTTATATATAATTTAAATCATTTAAAAATTGATACTTCATAAAGATCCCATGAGCAGATTGTGGAAAAATTAAGTATTTAATTATAAATATTAAAAAGAGACTTGAGGGTTTACAAAGGAGAATATAAATCGGAGTATAAAATCGGGAGGATTTTATCTTTAGAGGAAGTTGAAAGTAAAGAACAAGAAAAGAGACGGTATGATAATGAGAACTGATTGTTGAATTTCGAGTGTTTTTGATGTTGAAGATTGTAAGGCAATTGATTATGGGATTTTTAGGTTTTAAAGGTAAAATTTAGTATGAGGTATCATTAGTAGAGATGTACTTAAAAATAGAAACTTATGATTAAGTGAGTGGAGATGAAAGCTGAATTTGTAAAAAGGGCTGTGTATATTCTCTATAGATTTGGTGAAGTTGAATTAACAAATTTGATTTTCATATATAATTTGAATTTTGCATTGAGTTAAAAATAAAAAAGATTTAAATCGTAAATCATGATCTGAGACACAAATTTGGGTGAGATGTATTAATCTGGGATAGATTATTTAATAATTTTTAATGCACTACAATGTGAGGATATCGGAAATTTATTTAAAAAATATTGAAATTTGATTTGAAATTAGTATTTATTAAATAGAAGGTACTAAATTAGAAATCAATGATCTTGAAATTGTATTAAAAAGGGATACAATTTTGAGTTTTAGTAACAACATCAATGAAATATTAATTACATAACGTCTTCTTAATTTTTATGAAAGGGAATGTTTAAATGGATGGATACAGGAGACAATCATCTGTCTATTTATGTGAGTTCAAAGAATTTGGGTTGGGCAACATGTAGCTGTTATTATAATTTATTTTTAAAATATCAAGAAATATTATTAGTAAAAATAAATTTATTTGTGAATTTTCACCCTAGGAAATCCGCAATATCCAAAATTATAATTGAATACAAGAAAATAATTTGTTAACTGAAAATTTCGTTGATAACTTGCAATTGAGGATATTCATCTTTGTGTGTTGCTAATATCAATAGCTAAATAAATTTTATTATAGAGGGAGATAAAATATGATAATTTTATTTACCTCATCTTGATTCACTATTTGATATTTCATTATATTTTTATAAATATTTTCTATTGACAGCTATCTATTGCAAAGCAAATAAAAATTACTTCTTATTTTTGCTATGTACTTATAATTGATATTCTTAACATTCATTAAATTCGATTGATAGAAGACATATTCACGCATATATTTCAACAAACATAAAGCGACAACACCTATAAATTAAAAAGGAACTATCTTTCAATTTAAAAGCTGTTATTAATATATATAACACAGAGAATGCCAATAATACTCATTTTCACCTACAAATCTCAAAATTCGATCAATTGTTTATATTCATTTTGCTCAGAATACATATAAGGCTTTTGTAGCTTTTGAGCATTACTAACGTCTGATAAGAGCTAAAGGAAATGGCATCGTCCTAGAGAAGGATACATTATTCTTAGGGCGACTGCATTATTTGCAGCACCCTAACCATAAAATCATAATGAAATTCGCTCACATGCGGGTATTGTAAATCTTGCCTATCTAAGAGCATAGAATCTAACCATTCACATATATTTTTCTTTAAATTAACGAAAAACCCCTGATAAGAACGTTTTGTTCTAAGTCTTGAAATTGAGAGGGGAGTAAATGATAACATAAATAATTAAGCCCCAAATAATTCATACATTAATAATAATAAAATAACTTCAAAGTAACTAAATCATTTTAGTTCTTAATTTCATTAATTATTACAAAAAAATTTATCGAATTCAAATTTTTGCTTCTCTTCACCTTCCCAACTTTAATT